GCAACTATTTGCTATAATTTTTTAGGGTAGAACAGGTATCAAAATTCATCTGAAATGATCAACTCATTTCTCAAAAGCTTTGTTCTGGATGAAAATAGCTAACTGGGAAAATTCCAGAGGTGTCTGGCTTGATGCAGGCTCTAGCTGTTCTGTGAGTATGCATGCTATATCAGAAAGATTTTTATTATTTAAAGCCAGTTTTACTGATTTTATAATCATATTGCTTTTGCCCTTTTTTCCAGGGACTTAAGTGACAATGAGCTCATTGGACCAATCCCACCCATATCGGCAATTTGTCGTTTACTGGAAAACTGTTAGTTCTTATATGTTGACATATTTGTTATTGTTGCTTCTTTGTTTTGTTCTTTGTTATTGTTGCTCTTTGTTTTGTTCGTTCATAAATTGTCTGTAACAGATATCTCCAGGGCAACAGACTACTGGACCAATCCCGCCAGAGCTAGGCAATGTCAAAGCTTAGTTACTTGTGAGCTCTCACTTTGTAACATAGCCTTATTACCACACATCTGTGACTCCTGTTGCTAATTCCTTTCTGGCTGTTCTTTTTTTGTAGGCAATTGCATGATAATCTCTTGTTGGGACCATTCCTGCTGAGCTTGGGAAGCTTGAGCAATTGTTTGAATGTGAGTCTTATTGTTTTCCATTTGTTGTGTCTTTCTTACTTAACTAATCGCCTGTGTTTTGTTGTCTAGGATCTTGCAATAATAACCTTGAAGGACCCATTCCACTAATATCAGTTCCTGTACAGCACTGAATCAATTGTAGGTCTCCTTGATTCTTATTTACTCATTTTATTGTCGTGCATCTCACTTCTGTTTATTAATCGCGAATCTTGGTCTAATTTACAGCATGTCGTGGTAATCACTTAAGGGTCCATCCCATCTACTTCCGCAATCTGGAGAGTTTGACTTACCTGTATGTTCTGATACTTTAAATTTACATAGGTTCCAGTATCAGTGAACATCTTTTATGATATTAATATAGTGTATGAAATTCTTTTGTGTTTAGAAACCTGTCAAAGACAATTTCAAAGGTGGATACCAACTGAGCTGGGACGAATCATTAATCTTGATACTTGTAAGTTTCTTTTGCATCATGTATTTTTCTGGTATTAATCCCCAAGGCTAGAAGTTAGTGTTCTCTTTATCTTCCAGGGATCTTTCGACAATGATTTCTCTGACCTGTTCCTGCTTCTATTGGCGACTGGAGCACCTTCTTACCCTGTATGCCTTAAAGAAAACATTGTTTTATTGTATGATAGCTATTTATTTAAGGCTGTGCAATTAGCTCCTATGTTCTTTATTTATGCAGAAACTTGAGCCGGAATCATTTTAATGGGTCATTGCCTGCTGAATTTGGCACTCTTAAAGCATACAGATAATGTGAGAGTTACTTGTTTCGATAAATCTGTTATTTTGGTGCATTTAATTTTCTTTCATGTGATGATCTTATTTCTGTTTGTTTGTAGTGATGTGTCTTTCAACAATCTCTCTGGTAGCTCCCTGCAAACTGGCCACTCCAAAATATTTTTCTCTGTAAGATCTTGATCTTATTCCTTTATACTGTGACATATGCTTTTGATTAATATTTAAGATGTCATGCTGATGCCTTTTGAGATAAATTGCTTTACAGGATATTGAACACACAACATTGCATGGATGTCCAGCTTACCCATTCTTTCAGTCTATCAACCTGTGAGAGAGGATTTCATGGTCAGTTCTTTAGTTTTTCATCTAATAATTTATTGTCTCACTGAACCCAAATTTCTATCATTCCAGGAATGTGTCTTACAACACTTATCTGGGATTATACCTCCAATCAGAAACTCTCAAAATTTTCTCCTGACAGGTGGCATGAAACGTTAGTTTAGTATCTTCTTGGATCAAACTTCTACATATTTTATTTGGTGTGTCAGCTTCATTAAATCCACTGTTATTGGCAACTGGTTTGGATCAATATGGTCCTTCTACGGAAGTCTAGGGGTATGAACTTCATCTTTCAACGATCTTATCTGTGTTCACTTATTCTGTCTGTTAGCTTTTCTATAAATAAGGATTTAAAAAGCAAGAACTTTTTGCTTAACGTGTATTCTGCATTCCAGTTATTTTTCCCGAGCTGCTGTTGCTTGTATGATTTTGGGCTTCATACATTGTTAGCGATGGTTGCAGTTGCTGTATACAAATCTAACAGCAGAAACAACAGTTTAACAGGCTTCCAAAAAGTCTGTGCTGGGATGTGTTTGCCTTTGTATTTTCTCAGACGGTTAAACCTTTTTTTGTTCCTGAAGGTTGTTTTTTTTCTTTCTCAGCTCCACCCAAGCTTGTGATTCTTCACATGGATATGGCTATTCACACCTTTGATGACGTATGAGAACCACTGAGAATTTGAGTGAGAAGTATATTATAGGTATAGGTGCATCTACACGGTTTATAGATGTGCGTTGAAGATCCCGACCATTGCAATTAAGCGACTTTCAACGGTATCCTCACAACTTGAGAGAGTTTGAGACTGAACTTGAAACCATTGGCAGCATCAGACATAGAAATATTGTTAGCCTGCATGGTTATGCATTGTCACAGTGGGGAAATCTCCTCTTCTATGATTACATGAAATGGTTCTCTTTGGGATCTTCTGCATGGTTAGTTTTTATAGTCCATAAATGGGCTTAATATAATATGGGCATGGGGAAATGATGCTTTTCAATGTACTTCATGCCTACTTGAATTTAAATTTTAATTGTTATACTTATGTTTCTTTTATTTTTTTGCTGGCTGTGATTTTTTTTTTTTGGTCGGTTGACATGCCAGATCCTCAACAAAAGTAAACTTGATTGGAAACTCGGCTGAAGATTGCAGTTGGAGCTGCTCAAGACTTGCTTATCTTCATCATGATTGCAACCCCCATTATTCCAGGGATGTTAGTCCTCGAATATCCTGTTGGAGGAATTTGAGCCACATCTCTCAGATTTTGGTATTGCTAAATGTATACCAACTGCAATGGCTCATGCTTCAACATATGTTTGGAACTATTGGCTACATAGACCCAGATATGCCCGCACCTCTCGGCTTATGAAAGTCAGATGTTTATAGCTTTGGCATTTGCTTCTTGAGATTCTGACAGGGAAGAAGGCTGTGGATAACGAATCTACTTGCATCAGCTGGTAACCTTTTACTGCAATCATTTTGTTTTCTAATAGTATTGTAAACAACTCATATAATTATCAAGGCAAGAGTGAATCAGGTCAAACTGAGCGTTGGATGAATATTTTATTTTTCAGATACTGTCCAAGGCCGATGCCAAACAGTAATGGAGGCTGTTGACCAAGGGTTTCAGTTACTTGCATGGATAGAACAATTTTAGAAAGACCTTCCACTTGCTCTACTGTGCACTAAGCACAACTCTTGGACAGACCACACGATGCAGGAGGTTGCAAGGATTTTGTGCCTCCCTTCTTCCAGCTTCTCCCACCAAGTCCACTTTGGCTCCAAAATCGACCGACTATGCCAAATTTGTAATTGACAAGGACATCTGCGGCGACAACTCAGCGCAGCAAGTTCACAGAACAATTCAGCCGATGCTGTTGTTCGGTTTGGAGAAGTTATATCTAAGAACTCCCATTAAATACAAGTTGCTTTTGTTTAGCACACGGAATGAAAAAGAACACGGAGATGGATAGTCCGAATTTTGGTCCATTTGGTGTCAGTTCCGTTTTAGAAAATGTATATGGTCCCTTACTCGAAAATTTTGTACATTTTGGACTGACTAGATAGGAAATTATTCAAAGTAGTATAACTTTGAAATTGTTGGCTTGACAAAGACTTCTAATAGAAACATGTTCTAGATATTGTGTTGGCAATGTTTTAAAACCTGGCTTGGCCATCGGTTCAATTGGGACCTGAAAGCTTCAACGGGTTGGTTATATTTTTCTTGTTCTCTAAAACCTTGGTATCGAGGATGATCGGTGACACATTGACGGTCGGGATGTTGGGCTCCTGAAGAGACTGTGTTGGTGAATGCTGGTGGTGAGTTGATTTTCGGTGAGTAAATCGATCGGAAATCAAACAAAACGGTAGCGACAACAATTGACTTTTGTCGGTGATGGTGAGGTTAACGAGGGTAAGGTGAGGTAGGTTTTGGTCGGAAGGAATAGGAGAGTAATTTTGGGTGTGGAGAGGGTTGTCGATGCTGGTGTCGATGATCTGGCTTAGATGTTAATGTCGGCGTAGATGATATCTGGCCTGAATGTTGACATCAGTAGATTTGGCCAAAATTGAACCTATTTTAGCTGGTTCTTGGGTATATTTTAAGGGAGTGGGCTCAAGGGACAATTGGGGTTGCATTTGAGGTGTCGTGTCGCCAACCATTCGTGGTTGATTTGTATTTGGATGTGGTTTCCAAATTTCAAACTATAGTGACTTAATAATTTTTAGGGGTGATTCGTTGAATTTGAGAAGTTCTGTCACCGGTTAAACCATCAAATCGGGACCGACAACTTTGTCTGGTTTGACCCCCTTGTGTTTTACCACGTTAGTTGCTAGGATAACAGTTTTTCTTGTCTTTTGGTTCAAAGGGATAGCTGTGTAATTTGCCATAGGTCATAGATTCTGGCTGCCTTTGTTGTAATTGTAGGGGTGAATGAACAGGCGCGTGAGAGTTAGAGTGGAGTATTATGAAAAAGCAAGACTAACTGTCAAATAATGAAAAGCTTTGGGAAACGTTAGTACGAATGACGGCCGGCAAATGAATAAAAGATTCATTAAACAAATGAAATAAGAAATCCGTCAGCCACTAACGTCGCTTCACCGCCGTTTACATCGTCCTTGTCTCTAATTCTCTCTCCACTGCAATGGCTAAATATAGCTTCTTCACTCTCACTCTCTCACTCTTCATAACACCTATGCTCAGTCTACCTTGCACCTCACGCTAAACGCCTGTTCCTTTTCTTCCTTAACTTCTTCTCTCTCCTTCAAACTTCTCTCATTCAAACCAGACTCAATGCTAAAGTAATGACCCACTCAAACCTGTAGCTCAAGCTTCTTTTTATTTTATTTTTGTTTGTTTCTTTGGACATAACTACATCTTCACCATTTTCTTTCGAAAAATGCAAGTGTTTGGTTTACAGATGAAGAAGAAAAGTTTATTTTCGTTATCCGTGTTCTTGCTTCTTTGTCAATTTGCTTCCCCGCTGAGCGATGAAGGTTAGTGTTCCTTTACATTTCTCTTGATTTGCATTCTTTTGATTTGCTTATTTTTGGATGACAAGATTTAAACTGTGTTTTGGAATATCTGTTTGCTGAGTGGTGTGCAGGGAAAGCTTTGATGGCGATTAAGGCGTCCTTTAGCAATGTAGTGAATGTGTTGTTGGACTGGGACGATGTGCACAACTCTGATTTCTGTTCATGGCGTGGTGTTTTCTGTGACAATGCCACCCTGTCGGTTGTTTCTTTGTACGTTCTCTGCTCTCTTTTGTTATGCACTACAATGTAACTGATTGTTTCTTTGTATGTTCTCTGCTCTCTTCTAGTATGCACTTCAATGTTTTTGACTAATTATTTTCTTGTCTTCTTTTCTCTGTACAGGAACTTGTCTAGCTTGAATCTGGGTGGAGAGATTTCGTCAGCCATTGGAGATTTGAGTAACTTGCAATCTATGTAGGTGTATTATGAGAGCTACTGACATAACTTCTGTTAATATTTTTTTTTATCGCAAATAATAGTTTTGTTTTCGTTTTTGTTTTTGAAATGTTGCAGAGACTTTCAAGGGAACAAGCTAACGGGCCAAATTCCAGACGAGATTGGGAACTGTGCTTCCCTAGTTCATCTGTAAACTTAACTATTTTCTTTATTACAGTTGTTTTGATTCTTTGTTTTATACAATTATTTTGTTCTCTAACAGGTGGTCGTTTATTTTTGATTGGTTTGCAGGGACTTATCTGATAATAGTCTTTTTGGTGACATACCATTTTCAATGTCAAAGCTCAAGCATCTTGAGTACTTGTCAGTTTCAATATATTAAGTTCTGAGTTCGTTGTTTCATTTTACCAAATTTACCAAAGAGAAATAAGCCAAAAATCCTTTATGTGATGCAGGAATTTGAAGAACAATCAGCTCATTGGCCCTATTCCTTCGACATTGACCCAGATTCCTAATCTGAAGACCCTGTAAGTCTGTTAATTTTTTAATTGTTTCAATACTCTAGTCTAATCTACTCATTCTAGAAGATTTGACAAGTCTACAGAAATAACCTTCTAGTTCTTACTTTTTTGGTTTAATGCTGTTTATCTCTGATATTGCTATGTTTTTTTCTATAACATTTTACCTTGTATTGTTTTTTGTGATTTAAGGGATCTTGCTCGAAACCAGCTTACGGGTGAGATACCAAGGATAATTTATTGGAGTGAAGTGATGCAATACCTGTAAGTTTATGAACTTACGTTTAGTAATTAGAAACTATTTTATTTTCTTGCATTTTTTTTTTTTATAACTTTACGCATTGAACAGTGTCTAGTGACATTGTTTTAAATCACAAATAAAGTTTGAACCGTAGAGCGAATCTTTGCGTAATCTCATTGTATAATTTGCGTTCACAGTGGGCTACGAGGCAATGCTTTGACTGGAACCCTGTCCCCTGACATGTGTCAATTGACTGGCTTGTGGTATTTGTAAGTTGTCACAGTTTTCTCGTTCCTTATTTTCTTTGCATTTTATTATTTTTAGCCTTCGAGTTCACTGGTCCTGCCATGCTTTATGTGTTTCAGTGATGTGAGAGGCAATAACTTATCTGGCACAATTCCAGACAGTATTGGTAACTGTACAAGCTTTGAGATACTGTATGTCATGGCTAAATTCTATCTTACTGCTAGTCTGCTTTCTTTGTATGTTTGTATATTTACTTTTTTGTATGTTGAGAATATCAGGGATATATCTTATAACCAGATAACTGGTGTGATACCATACAATATTGGCTTCCTGCAAGTGGCAACACTGTAAGTGTTCTAACTTTTATATACTGTTTGTTTCTCTTGAAAAATTTGGCTTAATGGTTGCACCGTGTGGCATATAAAAAAGATTTGGTTAATTTCAATGGGGTGTTTTTTTGTTAGGTCACTTCAAGGAAATAAGCTAACTGGGAAAATTCCAGAGGTGCTTGGCTTGATGCAGGCTCTAGCTGTTCTGTGAGTATGCATGCTATATCAGGAAAGATTTTTTATTTAGTTTAAAGCCAGTTTTACTGATTCTATAATCATATTGCTGTTTGCCCTTTTTTCCAGGGACTTAAGTGACAATGAGCTCATTGGACCAATCCCACCCATACTTGGCAATTTGTCGTATACTGGAAAACTGTTAGTTCTTATATGTTTGACATATTTGTTATTGTTGCTTCTTTGTTTTGTTCCTTGTTATTGTTGCTTCTTTGTTTTGTTCTTTCATAATTTTGTTTGCTGTATCAGATATCTCCATGGCAACAGTCTAACTGGACCAATCCCGCCAGAGCTAGGCAATATGTCAAAGCTTAGTTACTTGTGAGCTCTCACATTGTAACATAGCCTTATTACACACATCTGTGGAAATCCTGTTGCTAATTTCTTTCTGGCGTGTTCTATTTTTGTAGGCAATTGCATGATAATCATCTTGTTGGGACCATTCCTGCTGAGCTTGGGAAGCTTGAGCAATTGTTTGAATTGTGAGTCTTTATTGTTTTCCATTTGTTGTGTCTTTCTTACTTTAACTAATCAGCTTGTGTTTTGTTGTCTAGGAATCTTGCAAATAATAACCTTGAAGGACCCATTCCACATAATATCAGTTCCTGTACAGCACTGAATCAATTGTAGGTTCTCCTTGATTCTTATTTACTCATTTTATTGTCGTGCATCTCACTTCTGTTTATTAATCGCGAATCTTGGTCTAATTTACAGCAATGTGCATGGTAATCACTTAAGTGGGTCCATCCCATCTAGCTTCCGCAATCTGGAGAGTTTGACTTACCTGTATGTTCTGATACTTTGGATTTACATAGGTTCCAGTATCAGTGAAACCTCTTTTATGATATTATTAATATAGTGTATGAAATTCTTTTGTGTTTAGAAACCTGTCAAAGAACAATTTCAAAGGTTGGATACCAACTGAGCTGGGACGAATCATTAATCTTGATACATTGTAAGTTTCTTTTGCATCATGTATTTTTCTTGGTATTAATCCCCAAGGCTAGAAGTTATGTGTTCTCTTTATCTTCCAGGGATCTTTCTGACAATGATTTCTCTGGACCTGTTCCTGCTTCTATTGGCGAGCTGGAGCACCTTCTTACCCTGTATGCCTTAAAGAAAAGCATTGTTTTATTTTTATGATTGCTATTTATTTAAGGCTGTGCAATTTAGCTAACTATGTTCTTTATTTTTGCAGAAACTTGAGCCGGAATCATTTTAATGGGTCATTGCCTGCTGAATTTGGCACTCTTAAAAGCATACAGATAATGTGAGAGTTACTTGTTTCGATAAATCTGTTATTTTGGTGCATTTAATTTTCTTTCATGTGATGATTCTTATTTCTGTTTGTTTGTAGTGATGTGTCTTTCAACAATCTCTCTGGTAGCATCCCTGCAGAACTGGGCCAGCTCCAAAATATCTTTTCTCTGTAAGATCTTGATCTTATTCCTTTATAGCTGTGACAGTATGCTTTTGATTAATATTTAAGATGTCATGCTGATGCCTTTTTTGAGATGAAATTGCTTTACAGGATATTGAACAACAACAACTTGCATGGCGAAATTCCGGTCCAGCTTACCAATTCTTTCAGTCTATCCAACCTGTGAGAGAGGATTTCATGGTCCAGTTCTTTAGTTTTTCATCTAAATAATTTATTGTCTCACTGAACACAAATTTCTATCATTCCAGGAATGTGTCTTACAACAACTTATCTGGGATTATACCTCCAATCAGAAACTTCTCAAAATTTTCTCCTGACAGGTGTGCATGAAAGTTAGTTATGTATCTTCTTGGATCATAACTTCTGTATTCATTATTTGTATTTCGTGTGTCAGCTTCATTGGAAATCCACTGTTATGTGGCAACTGGTTTGGATCAATATGTGGTCCTTCGATACGGAAGTCTAGGGGTATGAACTTCATCTTTCAACGATCTTATATAGCGTTCACTTATTTGTCTGTTAGCTTTTTTCATAAATAAGGATTTAAAAAGCAAGAACTTTTTGCTTAACGATGTATTCTGCATTCCAGTTATTTTCTCCCGAGCTGCTGTTGCTTGTATGATTTTGGGCTTCATTACATTGTTAGCTATGGTTGCAGTTGCTGTATACAAATCTAACCAGCAGAAACAACAGTTTAACAAGGCTTCCAAAAAGTCTGTGCTGGGTATGTGTTTGCCTTTGTATTTTCTCAGACGGTTAAACCTTTTTTATGTTTCCTGAAGGTTGTTTTTGTTCTTTCTCAGCTCCACCCAAGCTTGTGATTCTTCACATGGATATGGCTATTCACACCTTTGATGACGTAATGAGAACCACTGAGAATTTGAGTGAGAAGTATATTATAGGATATGGTGCATCTAGCACGGTTTATAGATGTGCGTTGAAGAATTCCCGACCAGTTGCAATTAAGCGACTTTACAATCGGTATCCTCACAACTTGAGAGAGTTTGAGACTGAACTTGAAACCATTGGCAGCATCAGACATAGAAATATTGTCAGCCTGCATGGTTATGCATTGTCACAGTGGGGAAATCTCCTCTTCTATGATTACATGGAAAATGGTTCTCTTTGGGATCTTCTGCATGGTTAGTTTTTATAGTCCATAAATGGGACCAGAGATATTAAATATAATATGGGCATGGGGAAATGATGCTTTTCAAATGTACTTCATGCCTACTTGAATTTCAAATTTTAATTGTTATACTTTATGTTTCTTTTATATTTTGCTGGCTTGTGATTTTTTTTTTTTGGGTCGGTTGACATGCCAGGATCCTCAACAAAAGTAAAACTTGATTGGGAAACTCGCCTGAAGATTGCAGTTGGAGCTGCTCAAGGACTTGCTTATCTTCATCATGATTGCAACCCCCGAATTATTCACAGGGATGTTAAGTCCTCAAATATCCTGTTGGATGAGAATTTTGATCCACATCTCTCAGATTTTGGTATTGCTAAATGTATACCAACTGCGATGGCTCATGCTTCAACATATGTTTTGGGAACTATTGGCTACATAGACCCAGAGTATGCCCGCACCTCTCGGCTTAATGAAAAGTCAGATGTTTATAGCTTTGGCATTGTGCTTCTTGAGATTCTGACAGGGAAGAAGGCTGTGGATAACGAATGTAACTTGCATCAGCTGGTAACCTTTTACTGCAATCATTTTTTGTTTTCTAATAGTATTGTAGAAACAACTCATATAATTATCAAGGCAGGAGTGAAATCAGGTCAAACTGAGCGTGTTGGATGAATATTTTATTTTTCAGATACTGTCCAAGGCCGATGACAATACAGTAATGGAGGCTGTTGACCCAGAGGTTTCAGTTACTTGCATGGATATGAACAATGTTAGAAAGACCTTCCAACTTGCTCTACTGTGCACTAAGCACAACTCTTTGGACAGACCAACGATGCAGGAGGTTGCAAGGATTTTGGTCTCCCTTCTTCCAGCTTCTCCCACCAAGTCCACTTTGGCTCCAAAATCGACCGACTATGCCAAATTTGTAATTGACAAGGGACATCTGCGGCGACAACTTCAGCAGCAGCAAGTTCAGCAGAACAATTCAGCCGATGCTCAGTGGTTTGTTCGGTTTGGAGAAGTTATATCTAAGAACTCCCATTAAATTACAAGTTGCTTTTTGTTATGCACACAGGAATGAAAAAAGAACACGGGAGAATGGATAGTCCGGAATTTTGGTCCATTTGGTGTCAGTTCCTGTTGTTAGAAAATGTATATGGTCCCTTATCTGAAAATTTTGTACATTTTGGACTGACTAGATAGGAAATTATTCAAAGTAGTATAAACTTTGAAATTGTTGGATCTTTGCGTAATCTCATTGTATAATTTGCGTTCACAGTGGGCTACGAGGCAATGCTTTGACTGGAACCCTGTCCCCTGACATGTGTCAATTGACTGGCTTGTGGTATTTGTAAGTTGTCACAGTTTTCTCGTTCCTTATTTTCTTTGCATTTTATTATTTTTAGCCTTCGAGTTCACTGGTCCTGCCATGCTTTATGTGTTTCAGTGATGTGAGAGGCAATAACTTAGCTGGCACAATTCCAGACAGTATTGGTAACTGTACAAGCTTTGAGATACTGTATGTCATGGCTAAATTCTATCTTACTGCTAGTCTGCTTTCTTTGTATGTTTGTATATTTACTTTTTTGTATGTTGAGAATATCAGGGATATATCTTATAACCAGATAACTGGTGTGATACCATACAATATTGGCTTCCTGCAAGTGGCAACACTGTAAGTGTTCTAACTTTTATATACTGTTTGTTTCTCTTGAAAAATTTGGCTTAATGGTTGCACCGTGTGGCATATAAAAAAGATTTGGTTAATTTCAATGGGGTGTTTTTTTGTTAGGTCACTTCAAGGAAATAAGCTAACTGGGAAAATTCCAGAGGTGCTTGGCTTGATGCAGGCTCTAGCTGTTCTGTGAGTATGCATGCTATATCAGGAAAGATTTTTTATTTAGTTTAAAGCCAGTTTTACTGATTCTATAATCATATTGCTGTTTGCCCTTTTTTCCAGGGACTTAAGTGACAATGAGCTCATTGGACCAATCCCACCCATACTTGGCAATTTGTCGTATACTGGAAAACTGTTAGTTCTTATATGTTTGACATATTTGTTATTGTTGCTTCTTTGTTTTGTTCCTTGTTATTGTTGCTTCTTTGTTTTGTTCTTTCATAATTTTGTTTGCTGTATCAGATATCTCCATGGCAACAGTCTAACTGGACCAATCCCGCCAGAGCTAGGCAATATGTCAAAGCTTAGTTACTTGTGAGCTCTCACATTGTAACATAGCCTTATTACACACATCTGTGGAAATCCTGTTGCTAATTTCTTTCTGGCGTGTTCTATTTTTGTAGGCAATTGCATGATAATCATCTTGTTGGGACCATTCCTGCTGAGCTTGGGAAGCTTGAGCAATTGTTTGAATTGTGAGTCTTTATTGTTTTCCATTTGTTGTGTCTTTCTTACTTTAACTAATCAGCTTGTGTTTTGTTGTCTAGGAATCTTGCAAATAATAACCTTGAAGGACCCATTCCACATAATATCAGTTCCTGTACAGCACTGAATCAATTGTAGGTTCTCCTTGATTCTTATTTACTCATTTTATTGTCGTGCATCTCACTTCTGTTTATTAATCGCGAATCTTGGTCTAATTTACAGCAATGTGCATGGTAATCACTTAAGTGGGTCCATCCCATCTAGCTTCCGCAATCTGGAGAGTTTGACTTACCTGTATGTTCTGATACTTTGGATTTACATAGGTTCCAGTATCAGTGAAACCTCTTTTATGATATTATTAATATAGTGTATGAAATTCTTTTGTGTTTAGAAACCTGTCAAAGAACAATTTCAAAGGTTGGATACCAACTGAGCTGGGACGAATCATTAATCTTGATACATTGTAAGTTTCTTTTGCATCATGTATTTTTCTTGGTATTAATCCCCAAGGCTAGAAGTTATGTGTTCTCTTTATCTTCCAGGGATCTTTCTGACAATGATTTCTCTGGACCTGTTCCTGCTTCTATTGGCGAGCTGGAGCACCTTCTTACCCTGTATGCCTTAAAGAAAAGCATTGTTTTATTTTTATGATTGCTATTTATTTAAGGCTGTGCAATTTAGCTAACTATGTTCTTTATTTTTGCAGAAACTTGAGCCGGAATCATTTTAATGGGTCATTGCCTGCTGAATTTGGCACTCTTAAAAGCATACAGATAATGTGAGAGTTACTTGTTTCGATAAATCTGTTATTTTGGTGCATTTAATTTTCTTTCATGTGATGATTCTTATTTCTGTTTGTTTGTAGTGATGTGTCTTTCAACAATCTCTCTGGTAGCATCCCTGCAGAACTGGGCCAGCTCCAAAATATCTTTTCTCTGTAAGATCTTGATCTTATTCCTTTATAGCTGTGACAGTATGCTTTTGATTAATATTTAAGATGTCATGCTGATGCCTTTTTTGAGATGAAATTGCTTTACAGGATATTGAACAACAACAACTTGCATGGCGAAATTCCGGTCCAGCTTACCAATTCTTTCAGTCTATCCAACCTGTGAGAGAGGATTTCATGGTCCAGTTCTTTAGTTTTTCATCTAAATAATTTATTGTCTCACTGAACACAAATTTCTATCATTCCAGGAATGTGTCTTACAACAACTTATCTGGGATTATACCTCCAATCAGAAACTTCTCAAAATTTTCTCCTGACAGGTGTGCATGAAAGTTAGTTATGTATCTTCTTGGATCATAACTTCTGTATTCATTATTTGTATTTCGTGTGTCAGCTTCATTGGAAATCCACTGTTATGTGGCAACTGGTTTGGATCAATATGTGGTCCTTCGATACGGAAGTCTAGGGGTATGAACTTCATCTTTCAACGATCTTATCTAGTGTTCACTTATTCTGTCTGTTAGCTTTTTTCATAAATAAGGATTTAAAAAGCAAGAACTTTTTGCTTAACGATGTATTCTGCATTCCAGTTATTTTCTCCCGAGCTGCTGTTGCTTGTATGATTTTGGGCTTCATTACATTGTTAGCAATGGTTGCAGTTGCTGTATACAAATCTAACCAGCAGAAACAACAGTTTAACAAGGCTTCCAAAAAGTCTGTGCTGGGTATGTGTTTGCCTTTGTATTTTCTCAGACGGTTAAACCTTTTTTATGTTTCCTGAAGGTTGTTTTTGTTCTTTCTCAGCTCCACCCAAGCTTGTGATTCTTCACATGGATATGGCTATTCACACCTTTGATGACGTAATGAGAACCACTGAGAATTTGAGTGAGAAGTATATTATAGGATATGGTGCATCTAGCACGGTTTATAGATGTGCGTTGAAGAATTCCCGACCAGTTGCAATTAAGCGACTTTACAATCGGTATCCTCACAACTTGAGAGAGTTTGAGACTGAACTTGAAACCATTGGCAGCATCAGACATAGAAATATTGTCAGCCTGCATGGTTATGCATTGTCACAGTGGGGAAATCTCCTCTTCTATGATTACATGGAAAATGGTTCTCTTTGGGATCTTCTGCATGGTTAGTTTTTATAGTCCATAAATGGGACCAGAGATATTAAATATAATATGGGCATGGGGAAATGATGCTTTTCAAATGTACTTCATGCCTACTTGAATTTCAAATTTTAATTGTTATACTTTATGTTTCTTTTATATTTTGCTGGCTTGTGATTTTTTTTTTTTGGGTCGGTTGACATGCCAGGATCCTCAACAAAAGTAAAACTTGATTGGGAAACTCGCCTGAAGATTGCAGTTGGAGCTGCTCAAGGACTTGCTTATCTTCATCATGATTGCAACCCCCGAATTATTCACAGGGATGTTAAGTCCTCAAATATCCTGTTGGATGAGAATTTTGATCCACATCTCTCAGATTTTGGTATTGCTAAATGTATACCAACTGCGATGGCTCATGCTTCAACATATGTTTTGGGAACTATTGGCTACATAGACCCAGAGTATGCCCGCACCTCTCGGCTTAATGAAAAGTCAGATGTTTATAGCTTTGGCATTGTGCTTCTTGAGATTCTGACAGGGAAGAAGGCTGTGGATAACGAATGTAACTTGCATCAGCTGGTAACCTTTTACTGCAATCATTTTTTGTTTTCTAATAGTATTGTAGAAACAACTCATATAATTATCAAGGCAGGAGTGAAATCAGGTCAAACTGAGCGTGTTGGATGAATATTTTATTTTTCAGATACTGTCCAAGGCCGATGACAATACAGTAATGGAGGCTGTTGACCCAGAGGTTTCAGTTACTTGCATGGATATGAACAATGTTAGAAAGACCTTCCAACTTGCTCTACTGTGCACTAAGCACAACTCTTTGGACAGACCAACAATGCAGGAGGTTGCAAGGATTTTGGTCTCCCTTCTTCCAGCTTCTCCCACCAAGTCCACTTTGGCTCCAAAATCGACAGACTATGCCAAATTTGTGATTGACAAAGGACATCTGCGGCGACAACTTCAGCAGCAGCAAGTTCAGCAGAACAATTCATCCGATGCTCAGTGGTTTGTTCGGTTTGGAGAATTTATATCTAAGAACTCCCATTAAATTACAAGTTTCTTTTTGTTATGCACACAGGAATGAAAAAAGAACACAGGAGGATGGATAGTCCGGAATTTTGGTCCATTTGGTGTCAGTTCCTGTTGTTAGAAAATGTATATGGTCCCTTATCTGAAAATTTTGTACATTTTGGACTGACTAGATAGGAAATTATTCAAAGTAGTATAAACTTTGAAATTGTTGGTTTTGACAAGACTTCTAATAGAAACGGGTTCTAGATATTGGTATTGGCATCTATGTTGCTAGGATGTCAGTTTTATCTTTTTTCTTTTGGTTCAAAGGGAATAGCTTTGTAAATTTGATGAAATCTTCTGGCATGCTTTGATATATTTTCTATTTGCGTTCTTAGCTTCATATGCGTTAATGATCTGTCAGGAAAACTCTATAAATAGTTCAGAGCCTTGGTGTTTGGTTTAATAATGGTCTGAAATTATGTTTGATAAATCATTATTCTATCGCTTTTTGAAGAAAGTAACAAATTAATGTTATAAAGTGTTAAATTCGAATAGTGGTTCACTATTTTGGGAGTTTTTAGAGTAGTGTTTTAGAAATTTTGGAAAAAATAGAGGAGAGTTGAGTTGAGTTGAGATAGAAAGATAATTATTAATGTTTTGAGAGTTGAGTTGAGATTGAAAGATAATTATTAACAGATATATTTTTAAGTTTTTAGGATATGATAGAGGAATAGGAATAATAGTGAATAAAGAGACTCAAAATTTCTTGACCTTATACTTAACCTCGAAAGAAAACTGGTAAGTCAAGTGCCTGAAAATCAGTTGAGGTGTTTTAATCCAGATTTTGTGGGCTTTTAGTTTGTCTTTTGGTGCCCAAAAACGTCTTGAGAATAATAAAATTGGGTTCATTTGGTTTTTTATTTGATGATTTTTAATTCGGTCTTTTATTTGATGATTTTTAGAATAGTGTTTAAAAAAAAAAGTAAAATTGGATTATTTTTACAAGAAAAGTAATTATTAATGTTTTGTGAGATGAATAAAGTAATAAGATTTTAAGAATATTGAAACAAATGTATTTTTGGGTTGTTCTTTTGTTTAATTTTATTGGGAAAATTAGAATAGTATTTTAAAGAGGGTATCAAATAGTCAAAAAGTACTGAATTGTAAGGGGATGTATATCACTAATTTTTTTGTGTACTTTAGAGTGGGAGTTGATGAATCTTTTGGCAGAAGCAAATTCTATTCCTACGTGAATGGGTTTATGGTGTGGAAGCTGCAGGTGGGAAGGAGTTAAATTTAAAATTATAAAAAGGCTGAAAGCTTCAATTAGTATTTACTGGTTTAAGGGTTTTTGTCATCAAGAGTTGCACAGGATGTAAGTGCAATGTCTGCAGGATTTCTGCTACTCCGAAACAAGTTCACGAGTCATTAAGATTCTTCTGACCATTCTGGCAACTCTGATTTCAGTATTATAGTACAGTAGGGTTTAAAGTGTGTTCAATTATATGACTTTTCGGCCTAGGTAGTAAGTTCATGTATTATTCATAAATTATACGCTTAGCCATATCATTTATGTATTATTCACAAATTATCGTATTTTATTAGTCTAGCCGTATTATTCGTAAATTATATGCCTCAATCGTATTATTCGCGAATTATTTTCGTATCTGAATTTTTACCAAATTTTTACAAACTTATTTTTTATCGTTTGTCGTATCATACTTATAAAATTCCCGTATTTTTTTTTTTGCCGTACCTGTATATTTGATATGTTATATAGATTTTAACCAATGACCTATGAAAAGTGTTAAAACTAGGATTGATATTATCGTATTTTTTAAAATGTATTATTGACAATGTACCGTATTAAACCCTCACCATATTTTTTATGTATCCAAATTTTATGACTGAATTTTTATAAACGTATCTTTTACTATTTACCGTATCATACCCGTAAAATTTCCATACCCTTTTTTTTACCATACCCGTATTTACTAATTAGGCTTTTCGGAGCCTTTGCATTTATTATTTTGTGAAATAATTTTTTATTAAATAATACGCAAGTGATACCTGTTCATTAAAGTTCCTCTTGAACCAGGAACAAGACCAAATAAATATAAAACAAACATATAACATAGTATTAAGATTTGAATAATTTCAAATTTGTTTAGATTAACCAAAGTATTGTAAAATTAGTCCAGAATAGTGATACATCCAATGAATCCTTTGGTAAATCAACAAATCCAATTGTCACTATATACAAACTATAATTTTAAAGAAATGCTATACTTTGTTGGTCACCAAATTTTTTTGGGAGTACATCGTTTTTCTCATGCATAAAAAAATATACACAAAACAACCCCCCAAATAAAAAAGAAAAAGAAAAAAGTTATGTGCAACTATTTGCTATAATTTTTTAGGGTAGAACAGGTATCAAAATTCATCTGAAATGATCAACTCATTTCTCAAAAGCTTTGTTCTGGAACTCTCAACGTATATCTAAGTTCCTGCCACAAGAATCATTTGCAATTCAATTCAACAACATACAAGGGAAACAAAATAGAATCAAACTCTGTATAATGGCACTTGAAGCAAGTGTGAAGTTTTATCAGAGTCACCGGTTTAAAATAATAGTGTTGTCGTAGTTTATAATTAAACAAAGATCAATTGGCATTAATTCAAACTACTTTTGAAATTGTATTACCTATTAATGTTGTATCGTGCTCCGGCTTCAGTATTCCTTCTATCAGTTGATTCACTCCCACATTGGCACTGGTTGTGACCAAAACTTGGAGAATTTTTCTTGACCGCTTTCATCATCTACAAATTAATGTGTATTATTATTGCAAAGGGAGGACTAGTATTGAATTAGTACCTAACTCGTTGTATTAGCATACTCTAGGACACAATTTTTGCCATGTAATCAACTAAGGAACATTTTGCACAGTATATCAATTAGTTTAAGGAACCATACTACTATACCTGGTGTTCCAAATGGAAGGAGCTTTCTGTGTTCTCTTTTGACCCCTATATTCAATCAATTAAAGCACTTGTATATCAATAAGAATACCAAGTAAAAACATTATTCATAAGAAGTGCTATACAAGTAAAAGTTTGGAGGAACTAACCTTGGAAGGAGGAGGCATTTTTGAATGGGGTTTAATGTTAGTGTGGACCGATGCCAGGGAGAGCTGATATCATGTCAAAAGAAGGGGTCATGAAAAGTAGTATATTCACACAACAAATTTGAAGTTGAGAAGTTGCAGAGAGAGTAATCCAATTCCGGAATACTTATCTCAGTCATATTCTACCTTATTAAATAGTTCAATTGGTGGCTGATTCAAAAATGTCTTATCCTCAGGAAAATCCAATTCCTGGAAGGAAATAAGATCAATGTACTTAAGAAAAGTGCGCCAGATAGCATATGATGACATAACTGTAAATAGAGGATTATTGTAAATTACCAATGGAACTCTAGTTTCCTGTTTGATATTCTGTAAGACACCAAGTTCTCCTTTACTTAACTGTGACAGGCAACAATATGGCTCCACATATGAAATCTCTTTAAAACATTCTCAATAACAAGGACCAGATATAAAAAATTTCACAGCACCTTTTTATGGCAAGGGTGAGATTTAACTTTTTGTGTTACTTCGCATTTCTCTTCCTTTAGGGAATTGACAGAGTTCGGTCTACAATATTGGTACAACAATGTTAGAAAGCAATCATAATCATTAGAGCACTACTTCTTTAACACTTGGTATGGATAAGAAATAATACAACTATGAGAATGGTTAAGCAACATGGTTTTCCCCTTGCATTATGAAAAAGATATTGATGGAATGGAAAACAACAATTAAAATAGATAAATTGATAATTAACCATTTGCTAGCTTATTACAAGAGAAGGAAAGTCTACATCCTGTACCAAATACAATATCCTGAGAAAGCTTAAAACCATGAGAAAAGGAGAACAGAATACACCTAATGGCAACACAACTATTATATGGTGTAAATGAATCTTTGTATGTTTAATTGAAATTAGCATAAGCTAAAATAGAAGACACTATTACCTTATGGAATCTTTGGTTTCATTTTGTGAGACAGAATTATGATTACACCTGGTTGCTACCTGTAATGGGGAGATCATTAGCTTCCAACAATCAAAGGCACATTACGATTCCACTATTATAAAAGTAGCATGAGAACAAAAGGCATAAGTTTAAGAATATTATATCAATTATAATGATCTATAAAGCACCCTTTTGATGACCTACATTGTTATGTGCATGTTGCCTAGCCCTCTCAGATGTTCTCAGCTGAAACTCCTACAAAGGAGGGAAACAAAAGTTAAACCACAAGCAAGCATCCCATCTGTTTCACTAAGATCTCTTTAAAGAAAATTGTTTATATCAAATGCCATGAAATTACCTGACACTCTGTCAGCGGTAGTGTGCTCTTTTTGGTAAGAGGCAATGCAGGAGATTCAAAAATCTGTAAAGCCCAATAGAAGTCATCAGAAGAGATCATACATTACGCCTTACTCTACAAGCTATTTCTTTAAAAATTCATGATTCCTATGAAATTCAAAAAGCTTGATCTTTATCAACTCAAAGTACCCACTTTTCTGTTCAAGGGACGTGCTTTAAAAGCAGAAGTATTTGATTTTGCATGTTCAGCCGACTCTGCATTAAACTTGGACCTGAAATTCAGGAAGCAAAACATGGCAAGCAGCTTATCAAACAAAGCTTGATGTAGGAGAAAACATTTCAAAAAAACATTATAGGCAGTGAATGTTACCTATGTCTTTGCGCTCTATTTGCAGTTTCCAAATTGGGTTCTCTAGGAATAGTAACTTTAGATCTAGGATGCACCAAACTAACCCCAAGGTGTCCAGCCTGCAAACAAAAATTTGAAATTTGTTTGAATCCAAAGAACTTAATTGATAACATTGAAATGGTACTAAATAATCCAAAGGGTCAGCAAATGATTATAAATGTGCCAAAAATACGCCATATCCTCTACTTCTTGAACAGTAAAACTTACCTTGTTGGGAACCTTGTGTAAGAAAAGAGCTTGATGCTTCAGATGGGAAACCTACTTCGTAAAATAAAAAAGCAGTCTTCAGAGCTTCTGTCAGAGCTGACTATAATAACTAAGCATAAACATTACTGTCTAGTAAAATGCAGCAATTCATATATGGGGAGTTGCTTAAACTTAAACCTTTAAGAAAGCAAAATACAAGCAAGATGAACAGAGCAATCAGTACCAACTAGACATTAGAAGCAGAACAACAACAAATTACTACTGAAAAATCAGGACAATGCATAACCAAAAGTAAGAAAAATAAGTTACAAAATGTATCTTCTAATTCTTGGAATCCCAAATCTCTTAAATCTTATCAAGCCTAATGAGTGCTTGGCATATCAATCTTAAACCACATTATACAAAAATAAACTTTCAGTTTCATGGATGCAGTTATATCAACATTTTCATACCCAGACTCATGAATTCAAGACCTGTATAAGCAACTGAAAATTGCCAAGATATTGAATATCAAATTTTAGCACCTTGCATAAGTAACCAGCATCCAGCTTTTGTCTCTTGGTAGCTAGGTTCTCAATCAAATAAGAATTTTGTGAACACTTGTCCATTTTGAGTAACAAACTTTTGAAACTATAGAGTTAAGAATGAGCAAAGAAATATGAAAAAAAATCCATTAATTGAAGAGGCAAAAGAATTCCAAAAACGGTTCTACAAACTTTATATAAATTACATAGCCTATAGAAAACCCACATTTTTCTTCTGAGAGACTAAAGAAATAATGTTTAATAATTTCAAATTAGTTCCAAAAAACAAGTATACACTTTTTGCAATCTTGAGTGAAAAACTATAATGCCAGAAATGGTTCGAAGTGTGTAACTGTTAAAAACCATAAAGTACTAGAGAAATAATAAGCACCTTCTCAAAATATCTTTGGAGTTAACTTCTTGAGATTGAATGTGCTTTGCCAAATAACTTGCTGTGGGTTCATTAAAGTTGAACTCCTTGATAGGATGACTGACCACAGCCTTGGTTTTGGATTGGAATATCTTTCCATGTGATTGCAGAAATCCAGTCCTGGGAAAGTTATACACAAAAGACTAGAGTGAAGGAACGTATGAAACTCCTATTTTGGCTATATCACAATCTACTAAAGATTAGGTAAATTTAATCTGTTGAACCCTTATGAGAAACTGCATACATATTTGATAGCTTTATGCAAGTTCATGAATATCAGGCAATCAAAATGGTAGGCTAAACCTCAGTCAATTCTATCAATAACATGATGTTGCATATAGTTTAAAGAATAATCTTGTATGGATGATCGAAATGGAGTCAACTAAAAAAATTCTTCCAGACTGGCTCAACTCAACCTTTTTCCAAATCGCTTGCTGGCAAATTGTCAATGACTCCTACATCAGACCCTCCAACCAGGACCCTAGAACAGATATTCTGCACAAAGTCCTTATCTTTTAGACTTGTGCATAAATTGGTGGCTGTTCCGATGAGTGGTATTCAAGAAATTTTCACTGAATAGTCCAAGAATTTTACCAAAAGAATGCAAAATTACAACTCACTAAAACATATATGCTCTGTTACATACATCATATAAATTGCATGAATTCCCGTTTCCCATGTTTTCACTAGGGCTAAAGAAAAAATTCAGGTGCTATACTTCCATCCGTGGAAAATATGAGAGAGGTACTGCTATAAATGAACTCCTTTTACATTAATCTCTCTCCAAGTTTGTTTTAGAAATCCTAAGTGTATGCATCCTGCCCTTCAATTTGCCTCTTCATACCAAAATGCACATCCAGTCATTTTAATTATAAAATCGAAGTAGTATCATTTTATTCATGTAATTGTTTCACTTCAACTCATCACTCCTTTGTTACTTGGTAGAGGGGTCAAGGACAAATGACTTAACGTGGTGGTATCGTTAATTAGATCATCAAACAGGAAAAAAAAAAAAAAAAGTTCAGACACTATTCTTTTTTAAATTGAAGAGAAAACAAAATAAGAATTTTATTATCACCTTTGAAGAAGGTCAGAATTAAACAAAGAACTCGCTTCTAGAATCGCAATATCGCTTCCAATATTCAGGGATATCATATCTCCAGTTTGACTTCGGAATAAAAGCTAAAAAATTCATAGAAAAAAAAGAGTTTAATTAAGACGAGTTAATCAACATATATGTAAATAAAGAACAATAGTTAATTCATTCACAAAAAGATAAAACAAAGATGAAGTTATTAAAATGCTTACGCGAAGGGGGATAACTTGCAGCCGATTCGAGCCAGCGTTCAGCTCTATAGTATCTTCCAAAGTTTCTGGTCGACAGAAATCAAAGTATTGAGCGCGATCAAATTGTAATCAATATCAATTACAAATTCATCCACCAGAAACGCCTCCATTGGTATTCCTCCATTTATCATGCTAAGTTTCACACAAACAACCACATGTTTTCTAATTTTTTTTTTTAATATATTTTCAGATAATGAGACACCAAACCAAATGGCGCCAACTAATTCTCTCGCTATAAAAAGATTTTCGCGTAAAATGAGAATGCAGTTTGGTTACTGTTACGAACAACAAACGGCAATGGCATGCTGATTTTCGAACTTTCCTCTCGAAAGTTTTACGGAAAATGAGAGAGAAAGTTACGACCAAGTGGTTCAAAATGCCATTGGTTTCGATTTCTCTCTCAAATTTTCTCGATAATGAAAGGGAGAGTTCGATATTAATTTTTCATTAGTTGGAACCTAATATCTGCGCACACAAATTCAGAATGATATATTATATAAGTTAAAAAAGGGTCGAAGTGAACGTGCGAGATTTTCGTTGTTAGCTAGGAGACATGAAAAGAAAGAAGGAACAGATCATGGAAATGTCGTTATATGGAGTGGAAGTTAAAAAGAGAAGTATTTTTGAACTGGTGGGTCCGAATTTCAATACCATCTTTCCTTCTTTGGGAAATTCAAATATATTTTTTCAATAATATTTTAAGGTTCAGAATCTCTCTCACAAACCCCCTATTGCAGCTTGATCAGCTTGCAAATGAACATTCAGATCCATTTTAAAAGTTGATCAATGACCCGTGATCACATCCAGTGTTACGAGATTGGGTTGAAAATTTAACATTATTCATATTTGTTTAATATATTTTTTATCAAAATTTAAAATATATTATATTAACCTCAATGGGTTCTTTTAGCGATCAAAGAGTTTTATTCCATTTCTTGAATTTTTGAATTCAAATATTATGATAACCTATCATATTAATATTGTAGCTTGTTCTGATGTTTTGGGTTTGTAGATTATTCAATGACCCCATAGATTAATTAAGATAGACAGACACCCCGATTATAATATATATATGTGTGTGTGTGTGTTGTGCCTAAAAAATCAGGGTTGATAGAAGCTTACGTTAGCAAGAGTCAATCAGAGTTCAGGAAGAATTTGTGTCATCTAGACGCTGTCATATCACAAAAGTACAAATATAGTGGATGTAGGATTCGCCTTTTAGCATCCGAATCACTTTAAAAATTGTCTCTTGTTTATTTTCTCATTGTACATTTTCATATCACGTATAATTTTTAAGTTCGTTTAACACTTTATACGTGTGAGTTATTGATATCAAAATTTATCATATATATGAAACATTTTACAGTTGTTTTCACAATTCAATATAATACAAATTTGAATTATTTTCATATTTTTCAATCAAGGTCAACTATAAACAGAAGCAAGCACTACAGAAAATTAGCGGCTTCACCAATGACAGCTCAACGCAAGTTATTTCTTTTTTTGAATTGAAACAGAGAAAAGAGACAGACAAAATAGTAAATTGATTTGTAATTGTTTGTCTGTTTCTTAGAAAATGGTGTTTCTGTGTAAAAGGAGAGCTACTTTAGTCGGGAAGCTGATTGTCTGGATTTCGCCAAGTTCCACTCGACTAGTCTAGTCGCCTTCTATACTCTTTCTTTGAATTTACAACTGTATCAAGTTCAATTACAGTCGTTGTCCTCTTGTCAATGAATGGCAAAATGGCTACGCTCCTGCTAATTCAAAATCTTGAAAAGCCGATACAATAGGCGCCAACTGAGAAGACGATGAAATAGCGTTATGGAATTTAGTGAGTGCGTTAGAATTTTTGTTGAAGACGAGCAATATTAAATCAGATAAGTTAAAAATATATATAAGTAATATTTTATGTATATTTTTAAAAAATATAAATACATTTGATTCATTTTTTACTTGGTTAATAACACACATAAACCTCTATAATTAGGATGAATTGTTAATTTTAATTTTTACTTATATTTAAAGAAAAATATCTTTTGGATCATGTTGCGTTTAATTATTTGAATAAAACTTAAAAAATATTACATTGTTTCAATTATCACAACTTTTTGGTCCATTGATCCTAGGTGGAGTGGTCATAATGAAAAGAAACAGACAAAAATACAGGGTACGTTTGTTTTGTTATTTTAGATAGAATTTTGGAAATAATATTGAGTAGTTGAATAAGGTGAGTATTATAAGGTAAAATTTAAAATTTAACAAAAAAACTCCATAAGTTTGCTAATTTAACTAAACACCCCAATATATAAATTTTTTGTAAAATAATAAAAACACCCTCACCCATCCACAGTGTTAGATTCCGGCCATCATCGTCAGAATCTGGCCAGAAAATGGAGTTACGACGCAGACCGGTCGGATCTGGCCGGTCGTGCGTCGATATGACTTTTTTCGGCCAGATCTGACCGTTGACGAACGCAAAAGGCCAGATCTCGTTGTCGGTCAACGACGGCCATTTTTTTGGCCGTCGCTGATGGCTAGATCTAGCATTTTTTGACTAGATTCACTGTGGATCTGACCAGAAAAGGTCAGATCGACGAATTAACAATCAGTTTCGGTCGTTTCTACGCCATTGTGATAGATTCTGGTAACTACCAACAGTGGTTGCTAGAATCTAGCAACTATGGATGGGTGAGGGTGTTTTTGTTAATTTTTAACTTTTTTTTCTAGGGGTGCTTAATTAAATTAATAAATTTAAAGGGTCTAAAAGTAATTAAAAAATGTAATAGTATTTTTCAAATAATTAAACAAACATATATTTTAGGAATAGTATAGGGAATAGGGTTTGAAATAATAAAAGAAAGGGACCGAAATTACCTTATCATAATATTAGCCAATCATACAATCATACAGTCATCATTGTTTCATTTTCAAAGGATAACAATGATTAAACCCACCACAACCCCACCATTCCAGCTTCTCTTTTCCTACTTTCCAACTTTCTATTGCATGAGGATTCAAGGAGAAAGGAGCGCCAAGGCCTGTGGGCCTGTTTGTTTGGTGGGCTTGCAATTGGACTGGCCCAGAATCACTTGGGCCCTTACTTTACAAGTTGAGAGCTTTGAGTAGAAGTCTCCAGTCATGATCTTGAAAGAGAAAAATATATTCATTAAAATATTATATTAGTCTATGTCATATATATTTTTCAACCATTACTGATTGCTTGCAGATTTTCGGTTGTTACAAGCAACTAACATAAATAAATCAAATTAAATGGTAATAATTAATTATTAATACAGCTAAAGGGGCATTATGGTAAACTCATCCATTGAGCAAAGATCCAAACAACGACGTCTAAATCTCAATCTCAGTCTAATCTTTCCTCTCGAAGAGAACGGTCATAAACTGTTATGCCTAAAAAAATATAAGGGTTGACGTCAGGTCCATTCAGCCTACAAAAGTCAGATCATTGGGACAACCATCGTCTGCTCCCATCAGAATAGTGGGTGCGCGTCAGGCCAATCAAGAGCTATGATGCTCCCACGTGTCTGATCCCTGTTCTAAATCGCGTAAATCACTCTGGAAGGTGGGTAATGTGACATAAAATAGGATTTACACGGATAATCTTACCAACCTTCAGATTTAGTGATCATTTATCTCAATATACCCCACTATAAATTGGGAGCTCCTCTCTCATTGAAGGGGATTGGCACATTTTGCGCTTGAATAATTATCCTCTCTTTTTTAGAATTCTTAGCATTCAATATCTTGTAATAGTAATGTAAAGTCAGTCTGCTAAAAGCGACCTGACCCTTATCATCAATATAAGCATCAGTAGATGTAGGACTTGCCATCTTAGCATCCGAATCACTTTAAAAACTGTTCCTATTGCATTTACTATCTCATTATCCATTACATTCACGTGTGTCTTCTGAGTCTGTTCAGCATTTTACACGTGCATTTTGTTGGTGTAAAAATCACGAATCAACATAATCTAACCAACGTTTTTCAAATAAAACTAAATCACTCTCTCGTTAATCTAACAAGCAATTAACATAAATAAATCAAATTAAATGGTAATAATTAATTATTAATACAGCTAAAGGGGCATTATGGTAAACTCATTCATTTAGCAAAGATCCAAACGAGTCAACGACCACGTCTAAATCTCAAATCTCAATCTAATCTAAATCTCACGTCATAAACTAACCAACGTTTGTCAGATAAAACAAAATCACTCTCTCGTAATTCGTCATTACCCAACAATTAACAGACGCAATCCAAAGTTTATCTATCTACTCCCTGTTTCTTCTTCACGCTCACGGACGGAGGGACCAAACGAGGCGTCAGATTTCGGCGGGCTTTCTGCAAACCCATGACCCAGACCCGAACCGTCCCACCACTGAACCGGAACGTCCCAAGCCCACCGCTGCCACTGCCATGAGGCTCATTGTGCCGTTACAAGGCGTTGTTCAAGGCAGAGGAGGCCTTATTTTGGGCTCTCTAATACCTGGCGCTCTTTTTTACTTTCTTCAGTTTTATTGGAAACGTCACCGTTCTCTAAACCCTTCCTCGGATCCTCCGTCGCCGTCTACTTCGTCCTCGAACCTCGCGGACCTACCCAGAACATCTTCGCGGTCCAATTTGTCGTCGCGCGGGTCTTTTGGTCCAGGTCGGGTATCTTCTCGGGGTGGCTTGCTTGCTAAAGCAGATGATTCTACGTATTATATCGGGTTAAATAAGGTTAAGGAGGATCCGTATCATAGGACGAATAATCCGAATGGGATTATTCAGCTTGGGTTGTCCCAGAACACTGTATGTTTAGGCTCTACTGAGTCTTTTTTTTTTTTGGTTTAAATTTTCTTAACTTTAATTTCAATATTTTTGTTTTGTTTTGGTTTTAGTTATGTTTGGATTTGATTGAGAAATGGTTCTCGGAGAACTTGACGGATTCTATAATGGGAAGCGATGGTGGTGATTTGAGCATCAGTGGAATTGCTGCGTACAAGCCGTTTGATGGAATGACGGAGATGAAAGTGGTGATGTGGATTACTTTATTTGTTTATTAACTTTAATAATTTTTTTGGTTGACTTTCACTTTAGATAATAGTTTGTTAGTTTGTAATGTGTTGATTCTGAGCTCTTATTCATGTTAATTAGATTGAAAAGAAGAGGTATGCCATGTGTATGAGCCACTCGGCTGGGAATACGTACTTCGTTCATCGCATGTTGCTAATATGAGTATTAAGGTTTCCTAATTGTAATTTGTGTTAATATTTGGCTTATAATGTTCTGATGGATGTAGTATGCTTTGTGCTATTTGTTGTTTTATTAACTCTATTAGAACCCATTCTATTGTGATATTGTTTCTTTTTGTATGTGCAAAGAATATGAAATTATTTATTATAATGCCATGGAGTCTGTGTTAGTGTTTTTTAATATCTATTCTCTTTCAGGCTATGGCAAGTTTCATGTCTCGAGTCATAGGGAAAGCAGTTTCATTTGATCCTTCACAAATAGTATTAACTGCTGGTGCAACTCCTGCAATTGAGATACTAAGCTTCTGCTTGGCAGACCATGGAAATGCATTTCTTGTCCCTACGCCATATTATCCTGGGTAATTTTTATCATCACTTTAGACCTTGCACCAGTATAACCAGGTTTACATATCAGTTAAGAAACCAAAGTTAATTAGAAAAACAATTTGCAGTTTTGACAGGGATATAAGATCGCGAACAGGAGTAGAGTTAATTCCTGTTCATTGTCGGAGCACTGACAACTTCGTTTTCAGTATAACTGCACTTGATCAAGCATTCAATCAGGCAAGAAAACGAGGATTGAAAGTACGTGCAATTCTCATCTGCAACCCGGCAAATCCTGTTGGCAATATACTTCCACGAGAGACTCTTTATGATGTTTTGGACTTTGCACGAGAGAAAAACATCCATATTATCTGTGATGAAATATATGGGGGGTCAATATTTGGAAGTGAGGAGTTTGTGAGCATGGCAGAAATTCTTGAGTCAGAAGAAGTTGACAAGGACAGGGTTCATATAATATATGGGCTGTCGAAAGACCTCTCTCTTCCTGGATTTAGGGCTGGAGTTATCTATTCCTATAATGACAGTGTTTTGGCTGCCGCAAAAAAGTTAACAAGATTTTCCTCCATGTCTACCCTGACTCAGAGACTCTTAATTTCAATGCTTTCGGATACAAGATTCACTCAAGAATATTTTGAGACCAATAAAAGAAGGGTAAAGGAAATATATGATTCATTTGTGGCAGGTTTAAAACAATTGGGAATCAGATGCTCGGAGAGCAATGCTGGCTTATACTGTTGGGCTGATATGAGTGCACTAATCCCCACTTACAGTGAGAAAGGAGAACTTGAATTATGGGACAAGCTATTGAATATCGCTAAGATCAATGTTACTCCTGGGTCAGCCTGCCACTGCATAGAACCAGGATGGTTCCGCTGTTGTTTTGCCACTTTATCTCAAGAGGATATTCCTGTAGTTATAGAACGGATTCAAAAAGTTGCTGAAACTTGTAAATTCCCCAGTTGAAATACTGCAAGAAATTTTATATTTAAGCATATTGCCATGACTAATTGTTTGGGGAAGTTGTAATGGACATGCACATTTTGACAAATTTTCAAGTTTGGCTGTCTTAGAAATTCTGCGGTTTAACATTCAGTTTGCATTCTGGATGTTATAATTTCTTTACATCCTCACTTGTTGGAAATAGAAATATAAAATGATTTGGAAGAGAGTTTCATAGAGGTCATGGATTGCTGGGTGATTTTGAACCACAAGGTGGGTTGCGTTTTTACTTTGACAACAGTTTCAGAGCATTAGCTGGCACTTCTTCCTCTGCAGTCCTTCAATCATTTTGATACTGGTTCCAAAGATGCAGCATCCAGAAGCTCTCCTTGCGAATTCCTGTTATAGTTGCATTCAGGCAAAAGTAAAGTTGTTTGTGATTTCTCTTGTGCAAAATAACAGATAGTTAACAGTATGAATACAGTATCCAAATGGAAAGAATTGAAATACAATTTCTTTTTGCATATATTTTTTGAAATAGTTATTGATTTGTCCCAACTTAGTTGATTGATATTCAACAGTGGTATAAGTGATCTAGAGATCAAATCCCATTCATATCAAACTTGGGAGGGGATCAATTAAATTTGTGTTTGTGTGGGGAAGGGTTGGGTTGGGTGTATGGTTTATGGTTTATGGTATGGAAAAAAAATGAAAAAAAGGGGAGAAGCTATGGATTTTTTCTACATTTTCCAGTTATTTTATTTTAGCCTAAGACCAAATGCTGTATTAATGACAGTAAAAAACAAACAGGAGTTTGATTTACCATTGATAGATTCTGTTTTCTGATTTGAGCAGCTTTCATCTGGTAGCTCCTCCTTCGACTGATCATTATCAGCTCTCCAAGTGTTGTTGGCCTCCTTATCACGACACTGCTGTTACTTTCATCATCAAACTCCTTGCTTTTCATTACTGGTTGGGTAAGAGGGCCCATTTCAGAGCATCCTACCCTTTCAAGGAAACCAGCTTTGGGGGGAAGTAATGGAAAGAGGCATTCCAAGAAAGAAGCCCCAACAAGGCTCGAAAAGCCATTCGTGTAACTGCTTGTGCTACTGTCTGTTTCAGAATCTGGTGTGGAAGGAATGTTTGGTTCATCACTTGTATCATCACTCAAGGAAGATTTTTCCACAGGAACAGCAGAAGAAATTGCTACTGAAGGTACAAGGCAGTTTGCTAGGAGAGAGGGAGCTGAGCTGAATGAACCATCTGTTTCAAAATCAAATGCCTCCAGATCCAATTCAAACAATGCTTTTTGGTCATCCTGACCGTTATCACTATCCTCTTCTTTGCCATTGTCAACAACATCATAGCCCTGGGGATATGCTGTGGGTGATGGGAAAGTTGTGAGGTTTTCTGGTAGGATTGGTAGTGGGCCAGATTCTGGAGGTGATGGGAAAGTCATGATGTTTTCTGGTAGGACCTGTGGTGATGGGAAAGTTATGAGGTTTTCTGGTAGGTTTGATGGCTCAGATTCTGGTGGTGATGGGAAAGTCATCAGGTTTTCTGGTAAGATTTGTTGCTCAGATTCCAGTGGCGGGTGTGATAAAGAGTTTAGTGGCGTTCCAGGCTTTTCCTCCCAATTAAAGGGAATGGATGCAATGAGCTTGACTGGAGGCATTTGAATTGGACTAACCGAAGAAATCCCTTGTCTCCAGTCTCTTTTAGCTATACCCGGCTTTTCTTCCCAAAGAAAAGGGACAGCCGGTGGTTGCCTGACATACTTTCTCCTAGAACGTCCCATGGTTTCCTTCCCGGCCATTCTGGAGTGAAAGCTATGTTCACTTATGCATTGCTATATGTGCATTATTCCTGTTTTTATAAGTGAAAAATTGGTATACAAAGTGGATTAGAGAAGTTTGGTGGTGAACGAAAAAATGCCAACTGCACCATTTTTGTGTCTGAAGAAAGTAGCTCTACCTGCTCTCACTGTTCTTCGGTTTGAATTAGAAGGATTGGTTTAAACTTAAGGGGGGCCATTTTTTGGATTTGGTAAGTCAACTCTGTCCAATTCAGTTTTCTTTTTAGCGATGTAAGGCAGGAGAACTTTTCTCCATGGGTATGGCTGACAGCCACGGTCCAAAAAGTAAACTTAGAAATACAATAAAAAAGAGTCATTGACCAATTATTGGTTTAGGATTCTTCCAATATTTCCTTAAGGTTTAGGACATCTGTGAGTTAAATTTCCCTTTTCCTTCCATTACTAGGTTCGGGTTATTGCCTTATTGGCACATTCCTTCTTGTTCTGGTCATTAATTGGCACATTCCTTTTTGGTTAATAATGTCTTTGAATTTTCCTAATGGTTGAAGGATACAGAAATCTCTAGAAAAATATACGAAATTAATACTTGAATTCTTTTCCTAAGTGGACTCTACTTCAAATCTCTCTATATATTCAATCTACCATCGCAAACCTCACAATTTTCTCTATAACACAATTAATAACAAGAAGAAAAAAAAAGGGCGAGTGAGAAGCAATAAGAACAAATAAAAGATGGATGTAAACAACGCCATTGCACCTCTCTGCGCAAAGGGTTGTGGGTTCTACGGGTCTCAAGAGAACAAAAACATGTGTTCAAAGTGCTACAAGGAATTTCTAAAGGCAGAGCTTATTGTCAAATCTGAAGCTAAAGTATTAAACGTGGAAAAACCTTTGAACTCGAAGGTTGATTTTGATTTTAGTTCGAGTAGAACAACGTTGAGCGTTGTTGCATCTGGTTCAGGTTCAAGCGTGAAGAATAGATGTAAGAACTGCAACAAGAAGATTGGTTTGACAGGTTTCAAATGTCGATGTGGGGATATGTTTTGTGGGATGCACCGTTACCCAAAAGAACATTCTTGTACCTTCGATTTCAAGAAAGCTGATCGTGAAATACTGGTTAAACAAAATCCTGTCGTCGATGGTGATAAACTAGCGGAGAGGATATGATCTCATTCATGGATTTCTTTTCAGTTAGAGATTTTCTTGTTTATACCTTTTTTTCTTTCCAGTCAGAGATTTTCTTGTTTACAGCTTTTTTCTCTTTCTTTCTTTATTGATCATTTTTGTCTATACACCAGAATGTGAAAGGTGTCTGTTAATTCAATATACCAATTTTTTTCCGACGACGTTTGGTGATGAACCTAAACATGCTAACTGCACCATTTTTGCTCTACCTATTCCTCATTCTAATTTAGAAGAGAGTTTAACACTTATTGGACCATATCATATTTTAAAATTTCACCGATGAATAATATAATAATTTTACATGAATATATGTCAATAATATTATTTGTTGATACGAAAAATTGCATCAATCTACAAAAGCAATGTGTATGTGGTTAAAGATAATCAGCAATTTAATAAAATACGTGATAATATAAAGAATACAATCGATTTTAAAAGTGGTTCGAGCCTGTCCATTGTTATCTTATTGTTTTTAATGGATTACAAGAATAACAATAAGTTCTGTCTAGAATAATTTGCTAACCCCTCTCTCCTTGTTGGAGGGGATTTATATACAAGTTTGTAAAGAAAGAAAGAGAGAAATTATTGAGATTGCAATCAAATTCGATTGCAATCTCAAATTACAATTCTGACATTCTCATGATTGTGAGCTAAGATCGTATTATTATTACTGTTTATTTGATTTCTTCTGAAATATCTGACATCTGAGTTTATCTGTGATTTGTTGAACAATTGCCAGAGTTAGTCGCAACTAGCTTATGTTGGGTCAAACAAGTGCTGAGTCGAACTAAATCTTCTCGGGCTTTTGACTTCTCCGAGCTTAATGAAAAAATCACACACGATATTATACATCACATTGATTTGTATATAAAGTTTATAAACCTTACATTATTCATATGAAAAATTGATTACAGTTTTTATTTTCTAAACAATATCTTTGGGGAAAAAAATTAAATACATTTTGGGATAATTTTATAAAAACCCTATAAGTATCAAATAATCATGAAGGGATTGAAGATATGAAAAATAAGACCCTAAACCTAATTTCTTTAAAAATCATAAAAAAAAAAAAAATTATGTTACACATTTATACTTTCTGGCAACTGCTGTCAGACTCTGTGTTGTTGGTAGTTTTGTAGCGTTGCTTGAGGCCATGGAGATCTCTCAACGTCTGTGGGGCCGTGGAGGCCTCACGGCAATTGCAAGAGGCCAAATACTGCCTTGTAGTGCGCAAGACCTCTGAAGGTCATATTCAACTTCAAGAAGTTGCTAGAGGCCGGATCCAGCCTTGTCGATGCCTCTAGAGGCTAGATGAAGACTATCCAGTGCTTCAAGCTAGATCCATCCAGCATCCAGCTTTGAAAGCTCCATTGGAGAGGCCAATTTGGCCTTAAAACATTACTAGAGGTCAAATTCAACAGCAATTCACTNGTCAAATCTGAAGCTAAAGTATTAAACGTGGAAAAACCTTTGAACCCGAAGGTTGATTTTGATTTTAGTTCGAGTAGAACAACGTTGAGTGTTGTTGCATCTGGTTCAGGTTCAAGCGTGAAGAATAGATGTAAGAACTGCAACAAGAAGATTGGTTTGACAGGTTTCAAATGTCGATGTGGGGATATGTTTTGTGGGATGCAACGTTACCCAAAAGAACATTCTTGTACTTTCGATTTCAAGAAAGCTGATCGTGAAATACTGGTTAAACAAAATCCTGTCGTCGATGGTGATAAACTAGTGCAGAGGATATGATCTTTTTAAAGAGATTTTCTTGTTTATACCGTTTTTTCTTTCCAGTTAGAGATTTTCTTGTTTACACCTTTTTTTTGTTTTTGTTTTTTTCTTTCTTTAAATCACTTTTAATAATAGCATTGATCATTTTTGTCCATACAACAGAATGTGAAAGGTGTCTTAATTCAATATACCAATTTTTTTCCAACGACGTTTGGTGATGAACCTAAACCTGCTAACTGCACCATTTTTGCTCTACCTATTCCTCATTCTAATTTAGAAGAGAGTTTAACACTTATTGGACCATATCATATTTTAAAATTTCCCCGATGAATAATATAATAATTTTGCACTTTTAAGTTTTGGTTATATTTTATTTCTCTATTTAATGCGTTATGTTTTATTTTATGCTTAATATTTGGGTCTTGTGTTATCTTTATCATTTTAGGTGATATTATACATCTAAGAGGTTGAACTTACGTACATGGAATCCTCTTCAGCTTTATCTACGTTTACTGCTCCCATAAATATTAGCTTATCTGGATCTTCTTCTAAAGTAGATTGTTTGTATGAAATATCTTATATCCTATAAAATAAAAAAATCCAGGACATTATCCCTCCAATTGTAAATCTTTATACAGCATTTTCCAAGTCTTTGTCTTCTTTGTCTAAAACCTTTAAAACTCTTGTTAGACATTCCAGAAAGCTAGTCAAAGACTGTTCCAGACTAGTACTTTTGACAAGTGTCAAATTCCAATCACAACCCAAGAACAATATGTTATTTTGAAGATCCCTCAAGAATCCATTTCTCAATGGATCCATGAAGGATACTCTCATATACACTTTGACGCTATCCGGCTCACTTTATCTTATCATGGTAGAAAATGACTCCCAGTCTCTGTTCAAATTGCTTTATTAGACACCGGATTTGTCCAATATCAACATGCTTGTATAGGGATAGCATAGACAACTTTGAATGCTGGGACAGTCATTTTGATACTGTTTCCTAATTTCAACATGTCTCTCTCTGATGTTCATTGCTCCAAGGCTCTTAAAGTTCAATTACATATCGTTGGTGCAGATTTAAATCTAGGGAGTATTGCAGCTACTTTGGATTACCAAATGGTTTGACGAATCTAAGACCATACTCTTAATCTCGCTATCCCTACGACTACTGATGCATTGCTCCTTACTATTGACTCTCAGAATACTCCTCACTGCATCAATATGAGGAGATGTACTGCTGTAAATGACCTCCTTACACAATTTTCATTACATCATGATGTGGTATATATCACAACCACACAAATTTTTAATTATTTTAAATTTTTAATATTATAATAGAATTTGTGTGGTTGTAGCATATACCACATCATGATGTTTACAAAATGGTGTAAGTGTAGCATTACTCATTTTTTAACTGGTGGGTCCGAAATTCGATACCATCCTTCCTTCTTCGGGAAATTCAAATATATTTTTTCAATAATGTATTCAGGTTCAGAATCTCTCTCACAATCCCCCTACTGCAGCTTGATCAGCTTGCAAATGAACATACAGATGCATTTTACAAGTGGATCAATGATGAGTTATCACATCCAGTGTTATTTGTTTAATATATTTCTCATCAAAATTTACAAAATTTAAAATATATTATATTAACCTCAAGGGGTTGTTTTATTGATCAAAGAGTTTTATTCTCTTTCTTGAGTTTTTGAATTTAAACATTAGAACAACCTATCATATTAATATTGTAGCTTATCCTGATTCTTTGGACTTGTAGGTTGTTCAACGATCCCATAGATTAATTGAGATGGACAAACACCTCGATTACAATATATATATATATGTTATGCCTAAAAAATCATGATTAACGTAAGCTCACGCTAGCAAGGGTCAATCAGAGTTCAGGAAGGTTTTGTGTCGTCCAGACGCTACCGCGTCGCGCAAGAACGGAAGAGGTAAGACTGTTGTCAGTGTGGCAGTTGAAAGCTTGGCTTGTGAGTGGCTAGGAATTATCCAACTGCCCAAGCCCTACGCGATTTAAGGATTTCTCCTGTGCAGTCAGCTAATGGAAAGTAGGTTAGGAATTGTACCACACATGTTCGACTACAAATTCATGATTATTACCTTGAATCCCTCGACTATAAATAGAGGGTTCTTCTCTCATTTAGGGGATCCGTTCATTTTTAATCTTCTAAGAGCAGACTCTCTCTCTATATTTAAATTCTCTCTCTAGATTATAACTCAACTCGCTATCCGCAATGTGACTGTAATCATCCATCAATACAAATATAGTGGACGTATGATTTGCTTTTTAGCATCCGAACCACTTTAAAAATTGTCTCTTGTTTATTCTCTTGTTGCACATTTCCATATCACATATAATTTTTAACTCCGCTTAACACTTTACACATGCGAGTAATATGAAAATAAGTCAAATTTGCAATTATATTGAATTGTTTTATATATATATATATCAAGGCAGGGAAACATTTTACAGTTGTTTTCACAATTCAATATAATTGCAAATTTGACTTATTTTCATATTTTTCAATTAAGGTTGTTATGCCTAAAAAGTCATGCCTCTGTCAGCTCATTTAATGTCTTCTTGTACCAGCTACCAAACTCATATCTCTAAAGATATTCTCTCCAACCATATCTCCTTTCAAGAAATGAATGGACGTGAGTCTTTCATGTGTCAAGGCAACTTGCAAAACACTCATTACATTGAGTGCAAAAGTGTATAAATGGGCACTCCTCTTCCCGAAGAAGGGGGCTGGGCTAAGATTTGAGCTTCATTTTCATTCTCTCTCTGTAAACACTGTATTTCTTCCTCTTTGTATGCCTTACGGGCAATATAATAGAAATAGTCAGTGAGCAATAAAATAACAGTGGATGTAGGAGTCGCTTGTTAAGCATCCGAACCACTATAAAAACCCCCTCTTGCCAATCTTTTATTTATTTTTCTGCAAAATATATAATTTCAGCTCCATATTCAAATCTCATGGATCCATCACGTGTGATTCTTAAGTCTGCTTAGTACTTCTCACGTATGAGTCGTTAACGTCCAAAATCAAGCGTCAACAAATGCCAACTATTATCATAAGCAAGCACTACAGAAAATTAGCGGCTTCATCAATGACAGCTCAACGCAAGTTATTTCTTTTTTTGAATTGAAACAGAGAAAAGAGACAGACAAAATAGTAAATTGAGTTGTAACTGTTTGTCTGTTTCTTAGAAAATGGTGTTTCTGTGTAAATGGAGAGCTACTTTAGTNTCCTTTTTTCCTCACATGTCTCTTCCCTTTTCCTCTACCTGCACTTCCTCATTTTAATTTAGAAGAGAGTTTAACAGTTGTTGTAGGACAATAGTCAGTAGGACCATATTTTGGATTTGGTAAGTCAAACCTTATAACAGTACAATTAGTTAGCTTAGAATGCAAAACTCTCATCTTTTAAGGCAGAAAAGAAACACTATTTAAAATTCAAAAGAGCTTTAATAAGAATTTTAAATAATAAGGAGAGTTTTATATTATATAGATAAATTAAAATTTAGATAAATTTTGCGATAACGCTAGGTTCACAACCATCTCTTATAATTTCTGACTTAGTAGCTCATTATTAGTTAGCTTGTAAATATGTAGGTGAGACTTGTACAAGCAGACAAGACCTATTTTGCGAACTGATCAATTATGAACTGCCACGTCGAAGGTTGTGAGAGAAGATTGTGAGATTGGGTTGTGGATCTAATATTACTCTAAATTTTATCTTCTTTTAAATTGAAAAATAAAATGTTCACTAAAATAGATGAAGACGAAATGATATAATAATTTTACATGAATATATGTATATAATATTTATTTTTCATATTAATTTGTATACGAAGCTTGTAAACCTAACATTATTCATATGAAAAACTCATTACTCTATTTTACTTTCTAAACAATCTTTTGACCAAAAAAAAATTAACATTTTGGGATAATTTTAGAAAAACCCAACATGTATCATGTATGAAGGTCCTTGAAGGTATGGAAAATAGGACCCTAGCTCCACTTTCTTTAAAATGGTTAAAACAGTTTTGTTAAATAGTGTAGACCTTGGAGGTCTCTTATGTCATTGGAGGCAGTAGCCTCACAACAACCGTAAAAGTCTATAAATGGCCTCATGATGCCTAGGCATGGCAATGGGCCCTAAAATTCCGGGGCTCCGTCCTGACCCGTCTCGTATGGGGCGAGGATTCCTTGGTTTTTTTGGGGATAGGGACGGGGACGGGAGGAGTTTTAATCCCTGTCCTCGGGGATGGGGTGGGGTGTAACAACTCCATTCTACTCATATTCGTTTAAAATATACATAGTAAAAATACATATAAGATAGCATAAAAAGTTGGGCCCAAATTTTTCTTTTATTAAACATATACATTCTTTGTACAAACTCATGTCATGTACAAAAATTGAACAATAAAGTGGACAGTGTAGCCATTTCCCTTCGCTTGCCGACATCCATCCGACCGTGTCCTCACCTAGATCCTGCAAAAACATAGGAAACAACGGGGTGAGCACAAAACAATGCTCAGTAAGTAAATCCTCTACTCATCTATCCCCGTAACTCTCTCTCTAATTCTTTCCTTACAATCCCCATTTCTCTCTTTGCTTTCTCTCCCTGTTTCTCTTTCTCTTTTCTATTAACTCTCTCTCTAGCAAGTCACGGCCCCATCTGACCGGAGGCACGACTGGAACTCACTCCCACTCTCCGTAACTTTTACTCATTCTAGCCGATCGGACTTGGTTATGCATGGATTCGGAACCCTTGGTCATGTGAGTGAATAATCTCTCTCTTGGGTACTCTCGGGTATAGCCCCCATCCGCATGCACTCTCACGGGCTACACCACTTCTCTCTCTCATACTCATGCCGCTCTCTCAATGTGGCGTATATGCGGGAATACTCTACCCATACTCACAGGTTCCCCATCGCATAACTGTAACGGTCAGCATGGTGAGCCCACTACTAACCGGCCACGGAACTACCTTCGTGGCAGGTACTGTCCCCCCCTTAAGGGATTTCTTCGCCTCCCCCACCACTCGAACCCAAGACCNGAGAAAAGAGACAGACAAAATAGTAAATTGAGTTGTAACTGTTTGTCTGTTTCTTAGAAAATGGTGTTTCTGTGTAAATGGAGAGCTACTTTAGTCAGGAAGCTGATTGCAAAATCCTGCAAAAGTCTGGATTTCGGCATGTTCCGCTCGACTAGTCTAGTCGCCTTCTATACTCTTTCTTTGAATTTACAAGTGCAGTCGTTGTCCTCTTGTCAATGAAGGGCAATGGCTACGCTCCTGCTAATTCAAAATCTTGAAAAGCCGATACAATAGGCGCCAACTGAGAAGACGATGAAATAGCGTTATGGAATTTAGTGAGTGCGTTAGAATTTTTGTTGAAGACGAGCAATATTAAATCAGAAAAGTTAAAAATATATATAAGTAATATTTTATGTATATTTTTAAAAAATATAAATACATTTGATTCATTTTTTACTTGGTTAATAACACACATAAATAAACCTCTATAATTAGGATGAATTGTTAATTTTAATTTTTACTTATATGTAAAGATGTTGTGCTTAGACAATCGCACTGATGTCAGCACTAACTAATCAGAGTTCATAAAGGTTTTGTGTTGTCCAGGAGCTTCCATATCGCCCTAAGACAAAAGAGATACGACTGTCATCAATCTAGCAGATTCAAGTTTTGTCTATAAGTAGATGAAGACCGCACACTTGTTCCAACTTTATCAAAATAAAAAGATAAGGATTAAGGAGTGGTCTCCACGTGTCAGGGCAACTTGCAAAAACATTCATTACATTGACCTAAAAGGTGTATAAATGAACACCTTTCTTCACGAAGAGGAGAGGTTGGGCATACGAGAGTTAGACATAGATTTGAACTTCATTATTTCTCTTTGTAAGCAAAGTGTTTTTTTATTTTTGTATGTCTTACAGGCAATATCATAGAAATAATCAGAGAATAATAAAATAAAAATAGATGTAGGAGTTGTTTTAAGCATCCGAATCATTATAAAAACCTCTTTTGCCAGTCGATGATTTATGTTTTTGCAACATATATAATCTCAGCACCATATTCAAATCTCATGAATATATCACATGTAATTTTTAAGACTCTCTTAATATTTTGTATATGTAAATCGGTGATGTCCAAAATCAAGCATTAATAAAAGAAAAATATCTTTTGGACCATGTCGCGTTTAATTATTTGAATAAAACGTAAAAAATATTCATTTATCACAACTTTTTGGTCCAGTGATCCTACGTGGAGCGGTCATCTTCTCTTCTCCTACTTTCCAACTTTCTACTACATTAGGATTCAAGGGGAAAGGGGCGCCAAGGCCCGTGGGCCTGTTTGCTTGGTGGGCTTACAATTGGACTGGCCCAGATGACTTGGGCCCTTACTTTATAAGTTGAGCTTTTAGTAGAAGTCTCCAGTCATGATCTTGAAAGAGAAAATATATTCATTAAAATATTATATTAGTCCATGTCATATATATTTTTCAAACGTGTCCTTAATTATAGTGTTTCTTATACGTCATATTTCTTTCTTGGAAGTAAAAGAAAAAATAAAATGAAAAAGGAAAGAAATTTAAATAATGACTAAAGGATAAGAACAAAGAAAAATATACCCATTACTGATTGCTTGCAGATTTTCTGTTGTACACGAACAAGCAATTAATATAAATCAAATCAAATTAAATGGTAATAATTAATCATTAATACAGCTAAAGGGGCATTACGGTAAACTCATCCATTGAGCAAAGATCCAAACAACCACGTCTAAATCTCAATCTAATCTTCCCTCTCGAAGCGAACGGTCATAAACTAACCAACGTTTTTCAAATAAAACAAAATCACTCTCTCGTTAATCTTCATTTCCCAACAACTAACAGACCCAACCCCAAACAAACCAACCTTTATCTATCTACTCACCGTTTCTTCTTCACGCTCACGGACGGACGGACGGACCAAACGAGGCCTCAGTTTTTGGCGGGTCTTTCTGCAAACCCATGACCCAGACCCAAACCCGTCCCACCACTGAACCCGAACGTCCCAAGCCCACCGCTGCCACTGCCATGAGGCTCATTGTGCCGTTACAAGGCGTTGTTCAAGGCAGAGGAGGTCTTATTTTGGGCTCTCTAATACCTTGCGCTCTTTTTTACTTTCTTCAGTTTTATTTGAAACGTCACCGTTCTCCGAACCCTTCCTCGGATCCTCCGTCGCCGTCTACTCCGTCCTCGAACCTCGCGGACCTACCCAGAACATCTTCGCGGTCCAATTTGTCGTCGCGTGGGTCTTTTGGTCCAGTTCGAGTATCTTCTCGGGCTGGCTCGCTTGCTAAAGCAGATGATTCTACGTATTATATCGGGTTAAATAAGGTTAAGGAGGATCCGTATCATAGGACGAATAATCCGAATGGGATTATTCAGCTTGGGTTGTCCGAGAACACTGTATGTTTAGGCTCTACTGAGTTTTTTTTTTTTTTTAGTTTAAATTTTCTTAACTTTAATTTCAATTTTTTTGTTTTGTTTTGGTTTTAGTTATGTTTGGATTTGATTGAGAAATGGGTCTCGGAGAACTTGACGGATTCTATAATGGGAAGCGATGGTGGTGATTTGAGCATTAGTGGAATTGCTGCATACAAGCCGTTTGATGGAATGACGGAGATGAAAGTGGTAATGTGGATTACTTTATTTTTTTATTAACTTTTTTAATTTTTTTGGTTGACTGTCACTTTAGATAATAGTTTTTTAGTTTGTAATGTGTTGATTCTGAGCTCTTATTCATTTTAATGAGATTGAAAAGAAGAGGTATGCCATGTGTATGAGCCACTCGGCTTCGTATACGTATTTCGTTGATTACATGTTGCTAATATGAGTATTAAGGTTTACATATTGTAACTTGTGTTAATATTTGGCTTATAATGTTCTGATGGATGTAGTATGCTTTGTGCTATTTGTTGTTTTATTAACTCTATTAGAACCCATTCTATTTGTGATTGTTTCTTTTTGTATGTGCAAAGAATATGAAATTATTTATTATAATGCCATGGAGTCTGTGTTAGTGTTTTCTAATATCTATTCTCTTTCAGGCTATGGCAAGTTTCATGTCTCGAGTCATAGGGAAAGCAGTTTCATTTGATCCTTCACAAATAGTATTAACTGCTGGTGCAACTCCTGCAATTGAGATACTAAGCTTCTGCTTGGCAGACCATGGAAATGCATTTCTTGTCCCTACGCCATATTATCCTGGGTAAGTTTTATCATCACTTTAGACCTTGCACCAGTATAACCAGGTTTACATATCAGTTAAGAAACCAAAGTTAATTAGAAAAACAATTTGCAGTTTTGACAGGGATATAAGATCACGAACAGGAGTAGAGTTAATTCCTGTTCATTGTCGGAGCACTGACAACTTCGTTTTCAGTATAACTGCACTTGATCAAGCATTCAATCAGGCAAGAAAACGAGGAGTGAAAGTACGTGCAATTCTCATCTGCAACCCTGCAAATCCTGTTGGCAATATACTTCCACGAGAGACTCTTTATGATGTTTTGGACTTTGCACGAGAGAAAAACATCCATATTATCTGTGATGAAATATATGGGGGGTCAATATTTGGAAGTGAGGAGTTTGTGAGCATGGCAGAAATTCTTGACTCAGAAGAGGGTGACAAGGACAGGGTTCATATAATATATGGGCTGTCGAAAGACCTCTCTCTTCCTGGATTTAGGGCTGGAGTTATCTATTCCTATAATGACAGTGTTTTGGCTGCCGCAAAAAAGTTAACAAGATTTTCCTCCATGTCTACCCTGACACAGAGACTCTTAATTTCAATGCTTTCGGATACAAGATTCACTCAGGAATATTTTGAGACCAATAAAAGAAGGGTAAAGGAAATATATGATTCATTTGTGGCAGGTTTAAAACAATTGGGAATCAGATGCTCGGAGAGCAATGCTGGCTTATACTGTTGGGCTGATATGAGTGCACTAATCCCCACTTACAGTGAGAAAGGAGAACTTGAATTATGGGACAAGCTATTGAATATCGCTAAGATCAATGTTACTCCTGGGTCGGCCTGCCACTGCATAGAACCAGGATGGTTCCGCTGTTGTTTTGCCACTTTATCTCAAGAGGATATTCCTGTAGTTATAGAACGGATTCAAAAAGTTGCTGAAACTTGTAAATTCCCCAGTTGAAATACTGCAAGAAATTTTATATTTAAGCATATTGCCATGACTAATTGTTTGGGGAAGTTGTAATGGACATGCACATTTTGACAAATTTTCAAGTTTGGCTGTCTTAGAAATTCTGCGGTTTAACATTCAGTTTGCATTCTGGATGTTATAATTTCTTTACATCCTCACTTGTTGGAAATAGAAATATAAAATGATTTGGAAGAGAGTTTCATAGAGGTCATGGATTGCTGGGTGATTTTGAACCACAAGGTGGGTTGCGTTTTTACTTTGACAACAGTTTCAGAGCATTAGCTGGCACTTCTTCCTCTGCAGTCCTTCAATCATTTTGATACTGGTTCCAAAGATGCAGCATCCAGAAGCTCTCCTTGCGAATTCCTGTTATAGTTGCATTCAGGCAAAAGTAAAGTTGTTTGTGATTTCTCTTGTGCAAAATAACAGATAGTTAACAGTATGAATACAGTATCCAAATGGAAAGAATTGAAATACAATTTCTTTTTGTATATATTTTTTGAAATAGCTATTGATTTGTCCCAACTTAGTTGATTGATATTCAACAGTGGTATAAGTGATCTAGAGATCAAATCCCATTCATATCAAACTTGGGAGGGGATCAATTAAATTTGTGTTTGTGTGGGGAAGGGTTGGGTTGGGTGTATGGTTTATGGTTTATGGTATGGAAAAAAAATGAAAAAAAGGGGAGAAGCTATGGATTTTTTCTACATTTTCCAGTTATTTTATTTTAGCCTAAGACCAAATGCTGTATTAATGACAGTAAAAAACAAACAGGAGTTTGATTTACCATTGATAGATTCTGTTTTCTGATTTGAGCAGCTTTCATCTGGTAGCTCCTCCTTCGACTGATCATTATCAGCTCTCCAAGTGTTGTTGGCCTCCTTATCACGACACTGCTGTTACTTTCATCATCAAACTCCTTGCTTTTCATTACTGGTTGGGTAAGAGGGCCCATTTCAGAGCATCCTACCCTTTCAAGGAAACCAGCTTTGGGGGGAAGTAATGGAAAGAGGCATTCCAAGAAAGAAGCCCCAACAAGGCTCGAAAAGCCATTCGTGTAACTGCTTGTGCTACTGTCTGTTTCAGAATCTGGTGTGGAAGGAATGTTTGGTTCATCACTTATATCATCACTCAAGGAAGATTTTTCCACAGGAACAGCAGAAGAAATTGCTACTGAAGGTACAAGGCAGTTTGCTAGGAGGGAGGGAGATGAGCTGAATGAACCATCTGTTTCAAAATCAAATGCCTCCAGATCCAATTCAAACAATGCTTTTTGGTCATCCTGACCGTTATCACTAACCTCTTCTTTGCCATTCTCAACAACATCATAGCCCTGGGGATATGCTGTGGGTGATGGGAAAGTTGTGAGGTTTTCTGGTAGGATTGGTAGTGGGCCAGATTCTGGAGGTGATGGGAAAGTCATGATGTTTTCTGGTAGGACCTGTGGTGATGGGAAAGTTATGAGGTTTTCTGGTAGGTTTGATGGCTCAGACTCTGGTGGTGAGGGGAAAGTCATCAGGTTTTCTGGTAAGATTTGTTGCTCAGATTCCAGTGGCGGGTGTGATAGAGAGTTTAGTGGCGTTCCAGGCTTTTCCTCCCAATTAAAGGGAATGGATGCAATGAGCTTGACTGGAGGCATTTGAATTGGACTAACCGAAGAAATCGCTTGTCTCCAGTCTCTTTTAGCTATACCCGGCTTTTCTTCCCAAAGAAAAGGGACAGCCGGTGGTTGCCTGACATACTTTCTCCTAGAACGTCCCATGGTTTCCTTCCCAGCCATTCTGGAGTGAAAGCTATGTTCACTTATGCATTGCTATATGTGCATTATTCCTTTTTGGTTAATAATGTCTTTGAATTTTCCTAATGGTTGAAGGATACAGAAATCTCTAGAAAAATATACGAAATTAATAGTTGAATTCTTTTCCTAAGTGGATTCTACTTCAAATCTCTCTATATATATTCAATCTGCCATCGCAAACCTCACAATTTTCTCCATAACATAATTAATAACCAGAAGAAAAAAAAGGGACGACTCGAGTGAGAAGCAGTAAGAACAAATAAAAGATGGATGGAAACAAGTAAACAACGCCATTGCACCTCTCTGAGCAAATGGTTGTGGGTTCTACGGGTCTCAAGAGAACAAAAACTTGTGTTCAAACTTCAAAGTGCTACAAGGAATTTCTGAAGGCAGAGCTTATTGTCAAATCTGAAGCTAAAGTATTAAACGTGGAAAAACCTTTGAACCCGAAGGTTGATTTTGATTTCAGTTCGAGTAGAACAACGTTTAGTGTTGTTGCATCTGGTTCAGGTTCAAGCGTGAAGAATAGATGTAAGAACTGCAACAAGAAGATTGGTTTGACAGGTTTCAAATGTCGATGTGGGGATATGTTTAGTGGGATGCACCGTTACCCAAAAGAACATTCTTGTACCTTCGATTTCAAGAAAGCTGATCGTGAAATACTGGTTCAACAAAATCCTGTCGTCGATGGTGATAAACTAGCGGAGAGGATATGATCTCATTCATGGATTTCTTTCCAGTTAGAGATTTTCTTGTTTACACCTTTTTTTTTTTTTTTTTTTCCTTTCTTTAAATCACTTTTAATAATAGCATTGATCATTTTTGTCTATACACCAGAATGTGAAAGGTGTCTTAATTCAATATACCAATTTTTTTCCAACGACGTTTGGTGATGAACCTAAACCTGCCACCATTTTTGCTCTACCTATTCCTCATTCTAATTTAGAAGAGAGTTTAACACTTATCGGACCATATCATATTTTAAAATTTACCCGATGAATAATATAATAATTTTGCACATTTAAGTTTTGGTTATGTTTTATTTCTCTGTTTAATGCGTTATGTTTTATTTTATGTTTAATATTTGAGTCTTGCGTTATCTTTATCATTTAAGGTGATATTATACATTTAAGAGGTTGAACTTACGCACATGGAATCCTCTTCAGCTTTATCTACGTTTATTGCTCTCATAAATACTAGTTTATCTAGAGACAGTTTATATGAAATTTCTTATATCCCATAAAATAAAAAAATCCAAGATATTATCCCTCCCATTGTAAATCCTTATACAGCGTTTTCTAAGTCTTTGTCTTCTTTGTCTAAAACCTTTAAAACTCTTGTCAGACCTTTCAGAAAGCCAATCAAAGAGTATGTCTAGACTAGTACTTTTGACAAGTGTCAAATTCCAACCACAACCCAAGAATAATATGTTACTTTGGAAATCCCTCAAGAATCCATTTCTCAATGGATCCGTGAAGGATACTCTCATGTACACTTTGGCGCTATCCGGCTCGTTTTATCTTATCATGGCAGAAAATGACTCCCAGTCTCTGTTCGAATTGCTTTATTGGACACCAGATTTATCCAATATCAACATGCTTGTATAGGGACAGCACATATAACTTTGAATGCTGGGACAGTCATTCTGACACTGTATACTAATTTCAACATGTCTCTCTCTCTGATGTTCATTGCTCTAAGGCTCTTAAAGTTCAATTACATATCATTGGTGCAGATTTAAATCCAGAGAGTATTGCAGCTACTTTACATTATCAAATGGTTTGGCGAATCCAAGACCATGCTCTTGATCTCGCTATCCCTACGACTATTGATGCACTGCTCCTTACTGGTGACTCTCATAATACTCCTCACTGCATCAATATGAAGAGAGGTACTGCTGTAAATGAACTCCTTTTACACAAATCTCTCTCCAAGTTTGTTTTAGAAAATCCTAAGTATATGCATCCTGCCCTCTCAATTTGCCTCTTCATACCAAAACTGCACAATCCAGTCATTTTAATTATAAAATCAGAACGGCAGTATTCATTTTATTCATGTAATTGTTTCACTTCAGCTCATTCAATCTCTCTTTGTTACTTGGTAGAGGGGTCAAGGAACAATGAATCTAACGTGTTGTGTCATCGTTTCTAATATAGATCATCATACAGGAAAGAAAAAAAAGTTCAGGAACTATTATTTTTCTAAATTGAACAGAAAACAAAATAAGAATTTTATTATCACCTCTTGAAGAAGGGTCAGAATTAGTAACAACAGAACTCACGCTTCTAGAATCGCAATAATCGCTTCCAATATTCTCAGGGATATCATATCTCCAGTTTGACTTCGGAATAAAAGCTAAAAAATTCATAAAAAACTAAAGAGTTTAATTAAGACCGATTAATCAACATATATGTAAATAAAGAACAATAGTTTAATTCATTCACAAAAAGATAAAACAAAAGATGAAGTTATTAAAATGCTTACGCGAAGGGGGATAACTTGCAGCCGATTCGAGCCAGCGTTCAGCTTCTATAGTATCTTCCAAAGTTTCTGGTCGACAGAAATCAAAGTATTGAGCGGCATCAAATTCGTAATCAATATCAATTACAAATTCATCCACCAGAAACGCCTCCATTGTGAATTCCTCCATTTTTATCATGCTAAGTTTCACACAAACAACCACATTGTTTTTCTAATTTTTTTATTTTTTTTTAATATATTTTCAGAGAATGAGACACCAAACCAAATGGCGCCAACTAATTTCTCTCGCTATAAAAAGATTTTCGCGTAAAATGAGAAATGCTTACTGTTACGAACAAACAAACGGCAATGGCTATGCTGATTTTCGAACTTTCTCTCTCGAAAGTTTATCGGAAAATGAGAGAGAAAGTTACGACCATATGGTTCAAAATTCCATTGGTTTCGATTTTCTCTCTCAAATTTTCTCGGATAATGAAAGGGAGAGTTCGATATTAATTTTGAATTAGTTGGAACCCTAATATCTGCGCAGTGCGCACACAAATTCAGAAATGATATATTTATATAAGTTTAAAAAATGGTTTCGAAGTGAACAGCGAGATTTTCGTTGTTAGCTAGGAGACATGAAAAGAAAGGAAGACAGATCATGGAAATATCGTTATATAGAGTGGTAGTTAAAAAGAGAAGGATCCGTATTATTTTTGAACTCGTGGGTCCGATTTTCAATACCACCCTTCCTTCTTTGGGAAATTCAAATATATTTTTTCAATAATGTTTCAAGGTTTAGAATCTCCACACAACCCCATGTTGCAGCTTGATGAGCTCGCAGATGGAGATACGAGACCCATTTTATAAGTTGATTAATAACGAGTTATCACATTTAGTATTATAAGATTAGATCGTAAATCTAACCTTACTCATATTTGTTTAATATATTTCTTATCAAAATTTACAAAATGTAAAATATATTATATTAACCTCAAGGGTTCCCTTAGCAATCAAAAAGTTTTATTCCCTTTCTTGAGTTTTTGAAGTCAAATTATATATATATATATAAAGATCAATCAGAATTCAGGAAGACTTTGTGTAATCTAAATGCTACCACGTCACACAAGGATGGAAGAGGTAAGACTGTTGTCAATGTGACAGGTGAAAGCTTGGCTTGTGAGTGGCTAGGAATTATCTACCTATCCAAGCTCTACGAGATTTAAGGATATCTCCTGTGTAGTTAGCTAATGGAAAACAGGTTAGGAATTGTACCACACTTTCCCGATTACAAAATCATGATTATCACATTCAATCCCTCGACTATAAATAGAGGGTTCCTCTCTCATTTAAGGGATCCGTTTATTTTTAATCTTCTAAGAGTAGACTCTCTCTTTGTATTTAAATTCTCTCTCTAGATTGTAACTCAACTCGTTACCCACGACTTGACTGTAATCATCCATCAATATAAATATAGTGGACATATGATTCACTTTTTAGTATCCGAATCACTTTAAAAATTGTCTCTTGTTTATTCTCTCGTTGCATATTTTCATATCACGTGTAATTTTTAAGTCCGCTTAATACTTTATACGTTGTTAGGGCCAAAAATCGTCCTTGGCCCAAATAGGGATAAATGACCATTAGCGAAGAAGGACCAAGCCCAGTCCTGCAAAGGCCCACGCCATGTTAGTTC